TACCTTTGTTTTCGAAGAAAGTTAGACAGGTACTGAACCCAAAGCGACGTGGTAAGACTGTTTGGTTCTCCTTCTTGCAGGGCCGTGGTTCCAGGCAGCTACAGCTAGGCGCGCCGAGGAAATGGTACCGCACCAAGAAGATTTGGCTGGCCATCGGCCTCGCCGTCATCATCGTGGTGATCCTCCTCATGGTCCTGATAGCTTGCCATGGCTTCAAATGTCGCTGATCCTTCAGCCAGGGTTGCTCGCTGCTAACGGATGGGAGGATTGGAAGCACAATAACTCCTGCATGCTTTAGATACGCTCAATAATCATCTATGCAGCATTGCAGCTTCACATGGCGATGCATTCTGCTTGATGTTGTGGCGGTCTCTGCTTTCTCCTCTCGTTTTGATGTACCCTCCCGGTAGTTAGAGTTGTGAGCGATTCACAAACCCTTTTAAATTTTGTTGGACTGTCATATGGAGTATATATGCTTGATTTTATAGTTGCATGAGATCGAGGGGACTGATTCCCTGATAGCAAAAACATATGTAGGCATAAAATGTATAACACATTTGGGGTGTACTAACTATCCCAACAAAACAATATGTCCTCCTTACGAAATTGAATGCCTAACAGCTCAGTTTTGGTCTTTATTCAGTGAGATACCTGCCAAGCAATAAAAAATATAGGACTTCCATTTTTTCTCTCTCTTGCCGAGTAGAATACATGATAGTAAGAAGCATTCCATGTTAGCAATATGCATGCTAATAAAGTTGTAATCCTCCATTTCAAATTATAAGATGTTTTGGTTTTTCTAGATTTTTTGCTTTTGCGATGTATTTATATATACACTATGGGCTTGTTTGGATCCTTTATTCCCTGGACTACATACCCTCTTTGGGTGGAGGGACTAATGGCCATTGAAGCTACCGTACAAAGACCAAAACGCACCACACAATTTTCGCTGCTCATTGTTTCACCCCACCCTCATGGGCTCACCCGACTCTTTCCTCCACGTCGCCAGGACCTATGTCACCGACATGCGCTTCCACTAGCGTTGGGAAGATAACTGGTGCTGCCCCGTGACCTCAACAGTGCTCCCGACCGCGCGCTGGCCTTCCTCCACCTCAGCCCGCGCCCTCCTCCGTCGGATCTAGAGGGGGGCCGCCCCGGTTGTCCTCCACGCCGAAAGCCTCCTTAGGTCCCCATCTGCGCCACCCCAGGTCGTTTTCATGCATAGTCCGTCTTCCTCCGTTGTCCCGATCTGCGCTAGCGAACAGCCCTAGCTCCAACCGACCGCCGGCCCTAGCTCCCACCGGCGATCGATCCCAGCTTGCCGAATCGAGGTCCTCGTCGAGGAACGGCGCGGGCGGTGGTGGGAACACGACAACATCCATTGCGCAGCGTGTAGGGAGCCAGAGCGCACGTATGCGTTGATGGGCCACAGTCCATTAATGAGGGGCATGGGGTGGTTGCCCTTTGTCCCCTTTAGTCCATTAATAATGGGCTAATGGGGTGTCACCTATTTTGTTACCATGTTTAGTCTTTAGGACTAAGGGGTGTTTTTAGTCGTGGAGTAGCCCCAAGAGACTAATGGACTAATCACTTTAGTCACCCATTTAGTTACCCTATTTGGGTCTTTAAGGACTAAAAGGGGACTAAACTTTAGTCAACTGGATCTAGACAGGCCCTATGTATAGATACATAAACAAAACAATGTATCTATAAAAGTCAAAACGTCTTATAATTTTAAACTGATGGAGTACTATATATTAATGGTTAAAGTTGAGAAACACATACAAAAATTTAAAACAACACTTTTATGGAAGCAAACAAACATTTTCGTTTGTTATGTGCAATGATTAAACCTAATAAAAACTGAAAATTTAGAAAGAAAATTTGTTGCCATAGATGGGCGGGCCACTCCAAGAAAACCCCCTTTAGCTATTTACAGGTTTGGCCAAATCGGCTGGATTCATCCTTGCATAATATTTTCTAAAACGGTAATGCTACTATTAAGACCTCACTCACTCACTGTTGCATGCGCCGCTCGCCTAAAAAACAAAATCAACTCCTGCACGCCTCGCTCCGCTCCCACCCTTACCTCTTCCACGCTCCTCATCCCCTATCGCAGCGCACCAATGCCCAACGTCCTCCCCCACTAGGAGCCCCAACGCTCGCAGATCCCACGGCCCTTTCCCCCACCCTGGCAAGATCCATGGAGCAGGAGTGAGATCCACTTGCCTCCGGCAAGATCCATGGAGGTGGCGCGATGTTGTTGCAGGGGAGTGGGTGGCTCTCCTCCACCTCGCCACGGCGCCCTCCCCACCCCCGGTGGCACCCTCTCTCACCCCAGCGGCCATGGCGCCTCGTCCCCACCCCACCGTCGCCGCCGAGCCAAGCCCGGTACTGGTGGCGCTGGTGGTGGTGGTGCTCGTGCGCCGCCGCTCGCCTCCGGCTCCAACCGCGATGGTTGGAATCGACCGGCCCAAGCTTCCCCTCCCGTATGTTGTAAATGTATGTTTCAGTCGTTTAAAGGTATGTGCAATTGTTTCTTATGGATGTTTCATCTGTTTCAAATGTATGTTGCATTTGAATGTTCATGTTGCAAGTGTAGACCGCCGGTGTTGGTGTCCATAAGGGCGGGCAGGGCCAAGCTGCGGCCACCGACACATGGAGGAGGTGCAGGGCGGCGACGGTGTGGGGAGGAGGCACAGACCATGCAGTGTTGTTGTGGAAAGAGGTGGGGCGAGTCATCTGAGCAGCGTGGGCAACGGATCTGAAGCGGGCGGTTCGGATGCGAGGGCGGGAAACGAGCTGGCGTGGGCGACGCATGAATCTGAGCGGGGGTGGAGGCGCGGAGCAGCCGTGGGCATTCCGGATGGACGCAGGCATCCGGACGTCCGAGCCCTAGTGCTGCCGTTTCTAAAAGTCAGTTTGACCTCTCCTAACTAGAATTAATATAAGCTAGTTGTGCATACGTTCGTAAGAGTGTGTGTGAAAAAAACCCCTAGAATTAACATAGTTCAATTTACCTTCCCAGAGGATGACATGCAGTAAGTCGCAAAAAAAAGAGGATGACATGCGGTCATGAATAAAAGGGAACAAAATCGAATGGTTTCAATTTCAAATGACGAATGAGAAAAAAAAACTGTTTTCCAATCGGGAGAGGCAAATCACATTTTGGCAAAAGTTTTGGGGAGATCGAATGGTCATTTCCATCTAGCATTTGACTCCTCCGTTTTCATATAGCACGCTTGTGGAACTTGTCAGACTGTCTCCAACAACACAGGCAAAACGCGACGCAAACACAAAATACGTCGTTCACAGTGTTTTAGCTGAAAAAAACACGCTCCAACAGAAGACGTAAACAAAGCACCTAATTTGCCTATGAGGCGAACCAGAACGTAAATAAGCGTCGTCTCTCTCCACGACGCAAATCTCTAGCGCCCGGTGGGCCCAGGAGGGCCCGTGGTGGAGGTGGCGGACATGGGGTGTGGCTGCTTGGCGGCGTGGACGGCTTGGCAGGCGAGGCGGCGGCGAGCGGCGGCGCCAAAGGGTTCGTGGCGAGCGCGCGACGGTGGGGGCAGGCGGTCATGGTGGTGAGGCGGCCGTCTGCCAGCAAAGCAGTCCATGGCGGGCGGCGGCTTCGCGGCGGTGCAGGGGAGGGGGAGGCGGGCCAGCGGTCCGCCGGCGCGGCGGCGGGCGAGATGGGGTCCACGACGAGCGGCCGGAGCGGCGCTGCAGGTCCACGGCGGGGCAGCGGCCAGAGCGGCGTAGGCCAAATCGGGGCTCTCCTTTTGCGGAGAAGGGAAGATTTGGTTTCGTGAGTCTTTTGCTGTGCATGACCTAAATCATAGAATGGATCTCTATTTTAGGTTCCTACTGTTGGAGTCTCGTGCTCGTCGCCTATTTCCGCCGCCGGCAGGCTGTCAGGTGAGTGGAACAATCCCCACACCCCCACGTCCCCGATGCGCTTGCTCTTCTGATCGCAGCAAGTTGGTTGGAGAATTTCAAATACGAGTGGCATTTAGAGCTCTGTGGCCTCGGATCGTCTGTGAGACGCGGAGATTTTTGGTTTGTAGAGGCCAATTTTCCGTTGCGTAAAATTCCAATGTGAGGTTGCTTGCTGGGCTCAATCTGGGCAAGTAAATTTTGATGCGGGTGATCATGTAGATTAGTTAATTTTGTTCCGCGGTTTGAACTCAATCTGGGCAAGTAAACTAGGGCTTAATACATTAATTAAGTAGCGTGGGGCGTGGAGATGTGGGCAAGTAGGAGCATAATTTCAGTTATAGCAATGGGTAATGCATTTTCTGTCTTTTTGATCCGTTCTCTACATGGTTTGAGTAGCAGAAAATCAGTGACTGCAGATGTGAATAACTTGATAAGTAAAGCTTATATCTATCTATACGAGGAGCGAAATAATGCTCAATCATACAGAAAACATGTCACTGGATTAATCATGTATGATTATTTTCTTGCACATTTACACACAAAACAAACATATGCAATAAGCGCGGTTTGATCCCGTTGAAAAATGTACGCATCACACATATGCACACAAACTCTCAAATCTCAATGGGCAAGAGGAAAATTGCAATGCGCTTCAGACTGCTGTACACTTCACTGTTCAGAGGCATGGCTGTGACTGTGAGTTCTGGTGACAGACCGTGCCCAACTTCATCCACACAAACTGCACAACTCTACGCACCCTATTCGCTTGGCTGATAAAGCTATAGTTGAAAGTACTGTTAGCTGATTTATTGTGAGAGAAAAATACTATTCGTTGACTAAAAAGTACGGCTTATAAGCCAAACAATCAGGGCGCTGGAGATTTGCTGAACCTAAACTTTGTTCTCAATCCACGAGAACCATTTCCACTGTAGTTACACACTTGACTAGTAGTAGTAGCCCATCATGTTATTCTGCCACATAGAATTGGTTATTGTCAGCACGAAAACTCATGTATCCTAGTCACTATACTCACAAGGCACCATGATCTAATCATAACTTCAAATCCACAAATCAAAGACAGTCTCATCTATCAACTCATCCAATACAAACTCCCAGATCTCCATAACAATCCCTTCAGTTTTTGATCTAATGTTCATCCACGTCTCCACTTCCAGATCCCTCTTAATTATCTGCTCTAGAGTACTTGGAAGACTATATTGGATATACCTGTAAACATATCTATCAACTTCTGTGATGAGGTTTTCTCCTATTGGAGGTGTCCGTATGTCGTGTTTTAGAAAAGTTAGCCAAGAAGAGAGTCTAAAATATCTCTCTTGGATCTCTGTTAGAGCTTCACAGATACAGTCAAACAGAAGCTTTAGATCATCCGTTTGATCACCCTGACTCTGTAGTTCTTCAAACAAGCAGGGGCTGATTAATTCATCCTCTAGGTACCATACCTCTAAATTTTGTTCTGCACACAACTCTGAGAGTTCTAGCACCAACTTTATGTAATCCACCCTGACACTCTTGTCCTCCCAAAGGACGTGAACATCTTGTTCATTATCTGGAAAATACAGGGTCCTTTGGAGACTATGCAGCTCACCTGTATGCCATTAAAAAATTAACCATACAGATATGTTCAGCATTTTATTTTATATCAGTAAAACTGAATAATGTTAAGTAAGTTCTACCGCTTCAACTTACATTCTTTCTTATTTATGCAGTCCGGACTGCTAATATCTTCAAAGAATGACTCAAGAACAGATACTGGACTGGGCCTCTCTTGCTTTTCATCGCTTTGTTCAGGAGAACCATCTGAGATTAATTTGGTTGATGCTCTTGGTTCTGGTGTTTCTGGCTCTTGCTGCCCCAATTTTTCAACTACGCCCTCAGCATTAGTCAGGGACATTTTAACATGTTCTTTTCCTTGTTTTATTTCTTCTAGTATTTCCTTTATGAAACATGGGACATTTAGAAAAAATAATCACAAAAACAAAAATATGCATTTATTTAAGCTTACCTGATATACACCGTCTCTGCTTTGTTCTGCTGGAATGGACTGTTCGTTGCAAATGTTTTCGCCGCAAATGAATTTGTCAATTCCTTCAATACACAGACTGCCTGGCTCATCATGAGCATGTTTTGGTCCTGTCCAAAATTCTTGTGTTTATTTGTATTCAGAGAATAAACATGCATCATTCATAGCATCAAATGAATTACCTTCTTGTGCTTCATTCGTGTAATATCCTTCTCGAACTGTCACCTGATCATCAACTGCTGCACTAGTACAGCGAGCAATGCTTCCTAAATCCTCTTGTGATTGGCTTCTCTCTTGTGTGCATTCTTCTCTCTCAACCTCACATGCAACATAAACATCTGTTTCTCCAGGTGAGGGGTCAAGGTAATCCTTTCCCCTCAGGCTACTCCTAGGGCTTGACACATTGGCATGAGGAAGAGAAAGTATGCCTTCCAAGGATTTTGAGATTTGAACTGCTGGATAGTTTACAGAACAGTCATTATCTTTTAGCATCTCTGTTAAATGCCTCTTGGCCTCTTCATAGAAGATAGACGCACCTTTTGGTGCTACTAGATGGCTACTGATTTCGCTTATGCTCCCATTTTGCTGCTTTTGCTTACTGCTGATGAAAGGTTTGATGTCATTCTTAATGTCTGACACAGACTTGTTTGCCAAGCTCCCTTCTGGGAGATGTTTAAAATCTTTATTAATTGCAATAACAGAATCTTTGAGCTTATGTGGGTCTCCTTGAAGGTCCTCTGCAGGAGCCAAATTTCTTTCTCTTCTACTCTCACCAGTCACAAATCTGAATCTTTTCTTGACTTCCTTAATTGAAAACTTTGAGTTTTCCCTTCCACTGCATTCAGGAGCATGCGATGTACAAGGCTGTTGATGTAAAGTTCTTGCAGTAGCTGCTTTCTGATTAATCCCTCTTTCTGGATTTGGCTTCAGAATAACAATTTTGCTAACAGTCTGAGCTGCGTCAGTTTCCTCAAGCATCTGCCTTCTATTTGATTTACCCTTCCTCCAGAAGAACATATATTTTCTCTCTTTAGCCTGCTCTTTTGTAGCCAAAGGATGCTGCTTTGAGCCTCCCCTTCCTCCAACAAAATTGGTCTGTCCATGAATTTTATTGGGCTCTAATCCAGCAGCTACCTTACTGTTTTCATGCTTTTGGATACTGTCAGCTATATGTGGATTTGGCTTCTGAAGCAGCTTCACGAAAAGTTCATTGTTTGAACCCAGTATTTCCAATGCATCCTTGAATTGTTTGGATTGGGCAGCCATGGTGTTAGAAAGATTATTCTGGTCAGATAGCTTATCATCATTGCCCTCTTGAGATTGCCTACAGCCAATATTGCGAGGAAGATTATTCAATTCATTGACCTTTTTATGGATTAGGGCCTTCAGTGAAGGACACAATTCATTCTTATTTTTGCAATCACTGTGTGGGCATTCATTGTGACAACTATATATTTCACCTAGGAAATTCACCAGGACAGATTCAAGATCATATTCTTCAGCATAATTCAAAACCCCAGAATCCATTGATGGAGTTGAAGGCGTAGAGATTCCTGCCTGGTGATATGAGTTATCTGTTGATTTATTTGTATGCTCTGAACTCCTATCAAGAGAGACATCATTTCCCAGGTCCGCTAATCTTCTCTGAACCTCATCATTTGGATTTTTCTTCAGCAGCTTTACTTTTCCCAATTCATCCTCCATAAGGTTTTTGACTGTTGGTTTCTGCGAAGTGCATTCTTCTATGTTCTGAATGAGAAACAGTAAAATGCTCAGATGCACTTGTATGTTGAAGAAAATTGTATATTGTGATGTGACAGAATGTATTGGCTACTTAATTTAATTAATTGAGCTAGTTCTGATAATGAGGTCCCTCAAGCATAATACTGAATTGACATACTGTCCTAGATAACGAGCCTGATTCACAATTGGTGGTTCACTGCCTCACCATTCATAAACTAGAGATACTTCTTACTTTCTCTGTTTGGTTAAAAAAAATGTGCTTCAAAGTTGTTAATACCACAGTGTAAATAAATTAGATTATGGTAACTAATAAAAACATGATTAGGTGGGTTTGCTTTGCTCCTCATAAAACTACTTGTTTGTTCATGCAACTTACACCATCTTCTATCTCGTCAAAATCCTTTGGCCACTTTGCTGAATGCCCCCTCTCTGCACAAATAATGGCCCATCATCAGAACAGTTATCCGTCAATACCCAAGTTGATACAAAAATAGTACTGCACACTGTTTTTTTCCTGAACTATTTTGGCTAATTCTAAATCAGTACACATCAGATGTGATGTTTGGTCTTGCTTAGCTTTAAAAATCAATGCAATGACTGGAGTAGTTCATGAATCAAATCCATGTTGCTATCTTGCAGGCCATGCTTATGGATTATCAATGTAATATGCTGGAACAACCCTACCAATGTAACCGAAAAAATGCAAACAAACATATACTAGTAGCATATCTTGTGCCATTTTCATGGATGACGCAAAAGGGCCTCTAGTCCAACTGGTTAGAGTGTCTCAGCACGGCACTCCTCAGGTTCTGGGTTCGACTCCCCGTGGGAGCGAATTTCAGGCTGAGGTTAAAAAAAATCCCCTCGTTTGTCCCAGGCCAAAGCATAGGTTAAGAGCCGGCCAACTCACAGGTTACGGCTCCCTGTGTATGGATGGGGCAGGGGTTTGGGGATTTTTTGGTCCATGTGAGAAGATCTTTCACAGGACAAAAAATTTTTTGTCTATGCGGGCTCGGCGCCGAAGCCGAGTTTTTTTTTCATGGATGACATAGTGAATTTATTGGAGCTACAGCATCTGTAAGTTACTGGTTAGTGAAGAAATGGAGCTCAAATTGATATGCATGTACTGTTACAATTACCCTAGTCTCTCTATTAGTAAAAAAAATGTCATGGAAACTGTGATTACTGGTTAGTGAAGAAAACTTACCACTGACCTCCCGGAACGTATGGCTCCCACTCAATTGCTTTGCATCCAGCAAGAGTTTGGGATCTCGACGGAAGTAAAGCATGCGCATGAGGCCCCACACACAGCCCACATTGTCCTCATCTTGTGATGCAGACCGCCTGTGGCCTCGTCTTCCCATTTCTGATGATTTATTTTCTGTAGCGGAAATGGCCCTTTTGTTTCTTCTATTGATTGCTCAGTTCATGAGAGAGATCGGCGCAAGCTGCACCTGATGACCACTGTATTTGAATGAGAATAATTCATCAGCTAGGTTCCGACAGGCGATAGCAAAGGGCGCAAAACAAGAACTTTTGCAAGATCAGAGCAGGGGGATGGATGCAAACAGCTGGCTGTCAGGCACCAATTTTATTTCTATTGTCTTAACTCGATATAAATCTCTGTTCAATCAATCCGGCTAATCAATCAATTAAGCCTAAACGAGGGCAAAGGGCGATCCAAACACTTCCAAATACAGACACAAAAATAAAAAAATGATGGAACCATATCAAAACATTGCTTTGGGCACAATTTCAAATCGAACCTATATTTTCTAAAAAAAAAAAAAAATCAAATACCAAATCCCCAACAAACTATCAATCAGCCACCCAGAGTCAGTATATTGGCACGGAGAACAAAGATCAGATTCATCATACAAATAGTAATAGCTACAGTGCACCACCAAGAAAGAAAGGCAGCAGAAACACCTTCCAAGCAAAGGAACAAGCCTACCTGAGCAAGCACGGAATGGAGCTTCACCGGCCGGCCTTGCTGACTCTCTATCCCCTTCTCTCTGTCGGCCGGTGTGACGCCACAGAGACGAACACCCATCCAAAGTCCTCACTCAGTCCTCGCGGCATCCCCCGGCCATGTGAATCGGCGCCGGAGCCCGCAGCCCTGAGCTGTCCATCCTTCCTCCTCCCTTTCGGCGAGGAGGAGGGGGGGGAGGGAAGGAATCGGAGGCTTTTCTTCTTCCGCGGTTAGCTAGCCTAACTAATCCAGGTCGTCTCGCTCACCTTTGCCTTTGCTTTTCTTTCTTTCTTTTCTCTTCTTCTTCTTCTCCCTCCCCTTGCTTTTGCTCTGTGGAATGGAATGGAACGAGCAGAGCGCACCACGGCACCAGCGCACCAGAGCTACAAGCTACGGCGCTACGGCAGCCTACCACATGGCCGGTCATCGTTTCGCACCAGTAAATTAGTGGACTTTCGGCAAGTGCGCTAGCCTTTTTCCACCCGCAGGAAAAAAAAAGAAGTGGCGGTATTAAAGAAGTGGTGGTATTCGAAAAGCAAATGGGTGCAGATAATTCAGGACATTTTGGACGCTAAATTATAAGAGAAACGAACGAGACATGGACACCTACCTGGGTTGGGGATCATGGTTGCGTGTTAAGCATTACTCCTACAATGATGGCAGTGATGCGTTTCGTTGAAAAAATAAGTTAAAACATTTGGTTGATTTGTTGTGAGAAAAATCGTATAGGTTGTATACACTATATATGATTCTTCCTATGGGAGGGGAAAGGGACATGGGCATAAAGGAAATGGGCAGAGGACAATAATACTAGTGACATGGATATGGGTATATAATATGAACAATCTAAATCATGCAACTTTTTTAGACCAACAAATCAGATTACATGGCCATGGCAGGAAGAGCCTGAAAGAAGCCACCCGTGTCATCTGTCAAATGCCGCGATGGAGATTGCGCGCGCCTTTTTCTGTACCCGGACCCGGATGAGCCTGAAAGTAAATAATCATTAACCCGTGCTCATAAGATGAAAAGCGAAAAGGACCGAAGATTTTCATTTAATTGCAAAAAAAATGATTTGATATGATTAATATATCTTAGAAAATCATATTTTTTTTGCGAAATTAAATGAAAATAATTTTTATATAAAATTATGATCGAGATATCGACTTTTTAGTTTTGAGAGTAGAAGTCGTTAAATCTCAAAAAGTTTAATGACATATTTACCTGTCCATCACAAACCGGTTGTTGTTCGTCCGAGAAAGAGACCTCCAATGCTCAAAGAGTTGGCTAAACTTTTTGTGAGGCTTTAGACATTACGATCGAGCAACTTGATCGTCTCTTTTTTACCCGGTCCCGGATGAGCCTGAAAGAAGCCACCGTGCTCATAAGATAAGCCAAAAGGGCCGATGGCTTGGCTCAATGCCCTAGCTAGTAGATAGATTTTGCGTGTCGACAACGAGTAGTGGCAACCAAAAGTTTGCTACCTGTCCATCACAAACCGGTTGTTGCTCGTCCGAGAAAGAGACCTCCAATGCTCAAAGAGCTGGCTTCCGTGTGAGGCTTTAGATCTACGAGCAATTTGATCTAGTATTTTTTCCAGCGAAACACCCTTACATAAAACATGTGTTACGTACTGCTTCTGTCCATAAAAAAATACAACTATGCATTACGTGTCACTCTAAGTGCTTCTCGTTTGATCAAGTTTCTAATAAATACTATTCACATCTATGGCTCTAAATTAATTTATTATAAAAATACATTTTATAATTAATCTAATAATATTTATTTTATATTATAAATATTTTATATTTTATATTTATAATTGGTCAAAAGTGATATATTAAAATATTATACTGTTTCAAAATTGTATTCTTTTGAGTTCGGTGAGTATTAGAAATTTTAGAAATCCCCAGCAATAAATATAGACTTCGTAATTCCATGCGCTGGCTTGATATATGTTTTAGTGACAGGCTAGACAGCTCATTTTGCAGGAAAATAAAATATGACGTTGATTATTCGGTGCCGGAGAGGAGTTAGTGGTTTGGATGGGATCTACCGGGTGGGTGGGTCCACAGCAACAGCAGTTCCCTGTTCTTCCTCACTTTACAACTCGAATCGTTTCCCCTAAAACTTTTACCGACTGAATATTTCGTTCAATCGATCGATGAGATTTAATCAATAGAGAGTCCGCTTCGAAGATTAATGGTGAAATCATGTTTTTTTTGTTACCAAGCTAAAACTTTTCACGGGGCCGCGTCATTCATTCGGATGTTTGACATGTATATGGAATATTAAATATAGATTAAAAAATAACTAATTGCATAATTTATGATTAAATTAGGAGATGAATCTTTTAAGCCTAATTAGTATATAATTTAACAATAAAGTGCTACAGTAACATATGGGCTAAAAACGAATTAATTAAACCTAGTAACTTCGTGATTTAATTACGGATTCAATAATACGACACCCGTATATAACATGACGTGACATCCGAAACTTTACAGACTGGCTAAACAAGGCCTCAGACTCATCGAAAGAAACACCCTCACGGCACCCCACTGTCACGCACGAGTCACGACACCCCAGGTTCGTTCGGTCGGCCAGCGACTGGATTAGCTAACCCTCTGCTCTAGTCCAGCCAGTATACTAGTACCACTGTCGATCGGCTGCTAATTACACTATACTGACATACTGTTAATCGCTTGCGTCCCACGGACGGAACGGCAGGTAGGAAAAGGGCGATGGACTGTGACGCGGGTGGTGATGCCAACTCGACGACATTCATGTGCCGTGACGTATCAGATCCAAGAAACCTTTTGGCCTAACGAGTACGAGCGCTCGAGTAGTGGCCAAATCACGGCTGTTTTTTTTTTCTTTGAGGAAACTGATCACGGCTGTTATTTAGTCGCGCTTCCGGGACCATGCAAACCGGGCATCAAGGTTCTCCTCCTCCCTTGCCGTCATACGTTGCGTTGCGTGCTCAGCGTGTGACGCCGTATCTGCTGAATTTGGTGCTGCTGCCTAGTACTTTTCATTTTCGATTAGATAGTTTGGATGCTACTTGTACCTGTAGCCTATAGATCCCGGAGATATCCTCCATTACCTTTTGCAGTCCAATTAATTAATTTATGCATTCTTAAGTCCCCCGAGAGCACAGCGGGTAGCTCAGGAGTTATTTGGATGGATGGCTCAGGGAGCCATGCTACAGCCGCTCCTTGTTTGGATGTCTGTCTACGTGCTAAGCCAGGTTCTAGGAAGCCAAAATGAGAGAAAGGGGCTGGCTACCTGGAAACGACTGGAGGGATCGTTTCTAGGAAACCAAGCTTGGCTAGCTAGCCATTCATACCGTGTCGCCTCACCGCCTCGGGAGCTCACATGCGCCGCCCTCGTCACCAGGTCGGTTCGTTCGTGTGTCGCTTGTCCATCTACAACCTGTCCACACACGAGCTCCCCCCACCCAATCCGCGTGAGCTCTGTCGCCCACTACGTCCCGTTCGCGTGCTCTTAAACCCGGCTTGATCCGCTTCTTTTTTCATCCGAAACAGTGTTTTTCTCTCATAAATTTCTCCAGCATTCCTCCAAACCATCCAATTCCTCCAGAATTCCTCCAAGCGAACAGGCCCTACGTAAGCTTCGCCGGTCCTGCACAAGATCCATCGGACCTCTACGTGTCTGAGCCCCCCACACGAGCTCCGCCTCTCCCATGCTCGTCTCTGGCCACCACTGACCTCCGCCGAACCCCCACTCCTCCCCGTGCATGAACTCTGCCTCTCTCCCACGCTCATCTTTGGGCTCCTGCGCAAGCTTCGCTCCTCTTGAGATGGTGATGGTGGTGCAGGTGGGAGGTGATGGTGGCGGAGGTGGAAGGTGAGTGCGAGAGAGAAGGTGGTGGAGGCTGACGAGGACATCACTTCTTCGGATACATCGCTCGTCCTCCAACTGCTATGCAAGGTTCAATGACTAGAGCTCGAATGCGAAAACTAAATCTAGAGGTGAGCTTGTTCTTAAGTGTCGGATATCAGTATTAGGGATACCTGGAAGAAGGAAGCTGATGGCCGTGAACGCTAACTCACCCGGATGGTCAAGAGCGTATTTTGGTCTCGCCCGACTCCGAAGGTACGGGCTCTGTCTCGCCCGACCCCGAGGGTGCGGGCTCCATGTCGCCCGACCCCAAGGGCGTGGGCTCCGTCACGCCTGACCCCGAGGGCGCGGGCTCCGTCTCACCCGATCCCGAGGGCGCGGGCTCCGTCTCGCCAGACCCCTCGGGCGTGGCTCCGTTGCGTCTGACCCCGAGGGTGTGGGCTCCGTCTCGCCCAACCCCTCGGGCGCGACTTTGCCTCACCAGATCCCTCGAAGGGGGATTCCGTCTCACCCGAAGGGGGTCCGTAC